AAATTTGGAAGTGTCTAAGACTGAGGAAGAATTGAGTATAAGTGAAAATGCACTTGAAAGAATGTCTAATCTCCAATTCGTAAGAATCATTGGTAATCTCAAGTGGATGGATTTGAGTGGTTCTAGAGATTTGAAAGAGCTTCCAGATATGTCAACCGCCACAAATCTCAAAGAATTAATTCTCGGAATTTGCTCAAGTTTAGTGGAGCTCCCCTTCTCTATTGGAAAACTCACCAGTCTCAAAAATTTAGATCTCAAAGGGTGCTCAAGTCTGGTGAAAATCCCTTCTTCAATTGAGAATGCAACCAATCTCAAGAGACTAGATCTCTCTGATTGCTTCAATCTTGTGGAGCTTCCCTCTATTGGAATGGAAACCAAACTTAAGCGACTGAGTCTTAATAACTGTTCAAGTCTTGTGAAGCTCCCATCCTCTATCAATGCCACTGATCTCAAGCATTTGTATCTAAGAAATTGTTCGCTTGTCGAGGAGCTCCCCGCTATTGAGAATGCCACTCATCTTTCCATAATGGAGCTCAATAATTGCTCAAGGCTACTAGAGCTCCCTTCTTCTATTAGATCAGCCACAAATCTTCAGGTATTACATATTAGTGGAAGCTCAAGTCTGGTGAAACTCCCGTCCTCTATTGGAGATCTCACTAATCTCAGTGAGCTTAACCTATCTAACTGCTCTAGTCTGGTAGAGCTTCCTTCCTCTATAGGAAACCTTCAAAAATTGTGGACGTTACAGATGTGCGGATGCTCAAAGCTCGAGGTTCTTCCAACCAACATCAACTTGAAATCTCTCTATTTACTTGATCTCACTAATTGCTCGCAGTTGAAAACTTTTCCTGAGATCTCGACAAACATAAAGGTTCTCAAGCTCATAGGAACTGCAATAAAAGAAGTTCCTTTGTCGATAATGTTGTGGCTTCGTCTTTCTGAGATTCAGATTTCATACTTCGAAAGCCTTAGTGAATCCCCGCATGTTTTTGACATCATCACGGAGTTGCATTTGGTAAGCGAAGATATACAAGAAGTTCCTGCATGGATCAAGGGGATGTCTGGTTTACAGAAACTTAGACTTAACGAGTGTAAGAATCTGGTATCACTCCCGCAACTTTCAGATTCCTTATATGACATAGATGCAGACAATTGTCAATCCCTTGAGAGACTGGATTGTTCCTTTAACAATCCGAAGATCTGTCTGAAGTTTAGCAACTGCTTCAAACTGAATCAAGAAGCCAGAGACCTCATCATGCACACATCAACTTCTAGATATGCGATCTTACCCTGTACACAAGTGCCTGCTTGCTTCAATCACCGAGCTACTGCTGGGGGTTCCTTGACAATCAAGTTAAATGAGTCGCCTCTTCCTAAATCTTTAAGATTGAAGGGTTGCATCATGCTGGTTAATATTAATGAAGAAACGGTTGATGATCATGATTCGATGTTTGTAAAAATAGACATCATAGACAAACATAACGATCTCAAAGTTTGGCGTACACTTAGAGATCTTTTTATAGGTCCACTTTTAACAGAGCATCTCTACACATTTGAAGTTGAAGCAGAGGATGTGACTTCCACCGAGCTTATCTTTGAGTTCACAACCAAAACATATGACAACTGGAAGATTGGAGAATGCGGGGTATATCAAATCTTGGAGGCTCCTTAGTGTTAATAATGAAGATGATGAGATCTTCGATCAGAGATGGGCATCGATGGAGGAGGTTAGAAAATTTTTATGCCAGTTTTACATTTATATAAGACTCTGTATTGTTATCTTTAATTGAAACTAATTGCAGATAAAGGTCATCGAAATTAGAGATAACGTCATTATCCAGACCGAGGTAGGTAGCTGATGTCAAAGAACTTCTTGCAATGGATGAGAAAAACAAAGGTAGAAGAAAGAGTAATTATTCAAGGATTTTGCAAGTTGAGATGAAGTTAATATTCTTTATTAATGAATTTCGATACGAAGGTCATCATTGGTGTTTAATTGTTGTTGTTGTTTGCTGGTCTTTGGAGTTTCTTTTTGGAGATTTTACAAATGCTTTCATTGCATTTTCAGGTTAAGCTAATGTACAACAAACACGACCCAAACCTGTAAAATTAGGGTGGAGTTGATGGTTTTGAAAAGGTAATAACTATTAAAGAATTATTATATCTCTTTTTGAATGGTTTTAGATATATAGTTGCTCCTCTGGTTAACTCAATAAGCATCATTTTAGAGCTCATTTAGTTGCAGATAATTGTAGGTCAATAAGTCACTATGGGTAGCTGAGCCCTCCATATATATAGAAGAAGCTAAGCTCGTTTAGGCAAAACAAAGTATATGAGGAAAAGGGAGTCATTTGGGGCAGTTAGCTCGGTCGTTAAGGGAAACCAGTTAGCTCTTAATGAGTCTGTCCATTCAAGCTCTCTATCGGAAAGTTGCATCAGCTTAATTGACTCTTTTAGTTTTGTAAATGCTTATATTTATTGGTTGATCTGTTTTGTTAGGACAAAGCTCACATGGAAACATGAATCTTGATCTTTTACTTGTTTCTTTGACAGGTACTGGACTTGCTTAAAGATGCATGTGACTATGTGAGTCTTTGCTGGATAGTATCACTGTGGAAAAGTTGATGATGGTATACGTAAGTTACAAGTCTCACTTTGTTGGACATAAAATTGCAAATTCTATTATTACATTTTAGACATCATATGAATGCCAATAGTGAGAGATTAGGATAATATGAAGCTTAAATCTTGTTGGTGTTTACTTTGAAAATCACGATTGATATGATTCTGATTATTGGAATTACAAAGCAAGGAACAGTAAGTTTCCCTGCAACAAGCAAAATCTTTTTGAATAACACAGCAGAGACCAAACCACATACCTGCAATTTTTGTTTACGTTAAAATTGAAGCCAATGCATATATCCCAATGCCATATGAGGCTAAAACCAAGTGAGAAGGGCACGTAATATAACATAACAGAGACCAAACTACATGCAAATGACAGTGCTCTATTCTCCCGAAAGTTGCAGCACATGCAACAGAGGAAGGAATAATGCACTTCACAACAGAGAAACTTTAAAAGACTGTTCTTTTTTTTACCTTTGTAACATTCTGATTATATACAACTGTATACTATAATCCTACCATAAGCAAGTAACTCATTTGTCGTTTTATCAATCAACAAACTGAACACATGAGACCTAACTTGTCATAGAAACTACAGCACAACATAAGACCTGAGACAAACAAATGATGAAAATTCACATAGCGTAGCCTAAAAAATATGAACAAACTATACATTTTTAAGAAAATATATGAAAGCTAATCAAAGAGGGAAAAGCCAAAGTACATTTGATGAAATTGATTCATATAAGAGACCTAATTAAGAAGTAAGAAGAAACTAGAATTGTTTTCTTTAAACGCAGTGGGAAAAAGTAGATGAGACGTTGAGGTGACGAGAGATAAGACAGACCTTGCACCTTGGTGATGAAACTACGTACCCTAAACGAAAATACAAGTATAATTCATAACTTACAACATTCAAAACAACGTTCAAGTATTTTTGTATTCCTCCGAAACTTTAAAGACCACTCTGTTTTAATCTGTGTAATATTCGTATACAACTGTACAGTCCTACCTATAAGCTCAATATATAATAAGTAACTCATTTGTCATTAACAATCAACAAAGTATTGTGAACACATGAGACCTAACTTGTCAAAGAAGCTACAGCACAACATAAGAACAGAAACAAACAAATCATGGAAGTTCTATAAGCAAATTTACAGAAATTGCATTTCACATCCATATATATATGACTTCTATTTTCGATATAATCAAAAAAGTCAAGACTCAAGAGTGGTGTTCATAAGAGACGTAAGAAACAAGAAATTGTATTTTTTTTTTAAAAGAAGAGAAGCTACGTTCCCTAGTAACTAGTAAGCATCTGAAGGGGCATAGCCACTTTCGTATCATACCAAGTAGCCTTTTACCAAATGAAAACTTGACTCTTTGTCAAAATCCGATAGCAATCTTTTATGCGAAATACAAAAAGTCAAAATTCGCAATTATATTACCTGTGACTGCTAGCTACAAACTCTGCTTTTAGTAAGTTTTAATTTCTATAACACACATCTTAGTAATGTCTTAAGTATGCGAAACGATGTGAAGCTTGAATTTTTGAAAGTTGATGATACTGCAACAAGTTCAGAGTCCCACTTTTTTTTTTTGTATGAATGAATGGTTACAAAAGGAGTATCAATGAGTTGAAGGTGCTGAAAGTTTAAAGACAATACAACTTGCTAAATTAGCTAAAGAGTATGAATTTGGAACCAGAAGCGAAGGTAAATTACCATTAGAGATTGGAGAAGCTTATTGTGGAGTAGTACTAGTAACTATTGGTTTAGACAGATGAAATCAACCACTAGAGGTCTATCAAAATGCATGCCATTGTCACTACCAAGTAGCCTTCCGTTCCAGAATTGTATTGTTTTGTTTGGACAAAACTCAAATGGAAACTTGAATCTTGGTCTGCTGTTTCTTTTGACAGGTACTGGACTTGCTTGAAGATGCTTGTGCGTCTTTGCTGGACAGTATTACCGTGTAAAGTTGATGATACTGCTATTTCAGAGTCCCACTTTTGTTGTTTTTATTATTGATATTTATAGCTTTGCACACAAAACTTAGAGTTCTTTTTTTCTATTATTACATTTATAAACATATTAGTAAAGTAAGAGTATGAGAAATGATGTGAAGCTTGAATCTGTGACATTTATTTCTTCTTTCCTAAACCTTGTTAAACTGTACATATTCTTAAGAAGAGATTTGGGTTCTATCTATCATTCAATATTATTAAAAGAGAGAGAAAAAAATAAGAATGTATGGACGTAAAGTGTTGTTGTTTGAGATGTTTACCTTATCATCATTATTTGGCTTCCGAGAAATTAAGTGAATTCGTGGTGGAGCATTGTGGAACGAGAGGTGTTGTTATTTGAGATGCTTATCTTATCATCATTATTTGGTTTCGGAGAAATTAAGTGAATGGTGGTGGAGTATTGTGGGACAGTGATTTTGTTAGCAAACATTTTCCACGAAATCTCACCATATTTTCCAAGAAACATCAATGGAGTTTCTGTGCCAATAAAGTCTTCGACAGTCACTCAAAGCCTCTTCCTCTCTCTAAAATTCTTCCTCCATCCAAAGCTTGCTCCTACTTTCACCATACTAATGGATTCTTTCTTTTTCCTTGTCTTAGTGACAGCCGCTATAGGCTTCCTCATGCTTTTTGTAAAATTCAGATTCAAACAAGATAACAGCGGAAGTACTTCTTCTTCTTCTTTATCTCTTCCATCTCCTTCAACTTATGTTTCTCAAACTTGGAAACACGATGTCTTTCCGAGCTTCCACGGACCAGATGTCCGAAGAACCTTTCTTAGTCATTTCCTTGTAGTGTTCAAGAGAATGGCAATCGACCCATTCATTGATAATGATGATATACAGAGGAGCAAGTCGATTGGTCCGGAGCTCATAGAAGCTATAAGAGGATCAAAAATCGCGATCGTATTGCTCTCCAAGAACTATGCTTCTTCTTCATGGTGTCTTGATGAGTTGGCAGAGATCATGAACTGCAGGGAAGAGTTGGGTAAAATAGTCTTGACTATTTTCTATGAAGTGGAACCAACTGAAGTAAAGAAACAGACGGGAGATTTTGGAAAAGCCTTCAGGAAAACTTGTAAAGGTAAAACAAAAGAGCGCACTGAGATATGGAGAAAAGCTTTGGAGGATGTGGCCACAATCGCCGGATATCATTCTTACCAATGGTATGTTCTCTTGATTTATTGTATTCTCCTTAATTAATATTTACTTAGAGTAGACTTCAAACTATGAGTAGACTTCAAACTTAGAGTAGACTTCAAACTATGTTTAATGGTTTTGATTGACAATGTGAAAATAAGCAATTCTCTTACTAATTCATAAGATTTTTGGAGTTTCAGTTTAGATTATAATATTTTGAATTATTTTACTATTAGTTTAGCTCTAAATTTTAAAAAATAACTAATTATAATAAGAATGAATACATTATAAATATATAAACAAAACTAGTGTTTAGATATTGAATATATATAAAAAATAGTTTTTTAATTAAATTGTTTATGGTTTTGTATAATGAAAAATATATAATCTTAGGAAGAAAATTGCTATGATGATTTTGTATTTAAATAAATCAAATAATAAGTTAATGTTTTTATTAACAATATAAAAAGAGTAATTCCCTTACTAATTCACATAATTTTTCTAGTTTTAATTTAGATTTTAGTATCTTGAATTATTTTACTATCTTGAATTTTTCTAGTTTTAATTTAGATTTTAAAATCTTGAATTAAATACAAAATCATCGTCGTCATTTATATTTTTAATAATATAATATTTTGAAATAATTATAGTTTTAAGTTGTTTTAACAGTATGAATACAATTATATAAAAAAAATTTTGGAATATTCTTTTTGGTCAAAAACGGTCAACGCCGGAGTCAACACCGGTCAACGCCATAATCAGTTGACCGATGTACCAGAATTTTATGTCTATGGTGTTGACTACATGACGTTGTATAGTTAATGCATGTGGTCATGCAATACATGTAGTTCGTGTAGCTGAATGTACAATATGATACTTGGCATGTGTGGCCATGCATTCCTCTATAGTTGGTGTAGTCAGCCATCTTTTTTCCTTTTAAAAATTATTAAGACACTAAAAATACATATTTTAGGATCAGTATGTATGAGAATTTTTCTTCACTAGACTATTTGATAGATTTATGTTAATACCCTCCAATGTTAGGGTCAATGATGCAACCATGATCGAAAAAATAGCCATTGATGTTTCAGACATGTTGAATTGCTCCACACCATCAAGAGATATTGATAGTTTAGTAGGGATGGAAAATCATATGGAAAAGTTGAAACCGTTGTTAAGCCTAGATTTGGATGATGTAAGGATGATCGGGATTTGGGGGCCGCCTGGGATTGGTAAGACGACCATTGCTAGATTTATGTTTGACCAAGTATCCAACAAATTCCTATTTAGCGCGATCATGATTGATATTAGAAGAAGCTATCCAAAAGGTCGTTTGAATGAGTGTAGCGCACAATTGCAACTACAAAGCCATATGTTATCTATGATTATAAATCATAAAGATATCATGATACCTCATCTAGGAGTGGCACAAGAACGGTTGAAAGGCAAAAAAGTGTTACTCGTTCTTGATGATGTGGATGACTTAAGACAACTACATGTCTTGGCGAAAGAACTTCAGTGGTTTGGTCCTGGAAGTCGGATTATAATCACAACAGAAGATCGAGGAGTTTTGAATGCCCATGGGATCAGTCATATTTACGACGTGGAATTTCCATTAAATAATGAGGCTTTTCAAATCTTTTGTATGCATGCTTTTGGACACAAGCACCCAGATGATGGCTTTGATGAGCTTGCTGAGGAAGTTGCATGCCTTGCTGGTGAACTCCCTTTGGGTTTGAAGATTCTAGGCTCCACTTTGAAAGGAAAGTCCAAGCAAGAGTGGGAAAGGAAACTACCAAGGTTAAAGACCAAGCTTAATGGAGAAATAGAGAGCATTATGAAGTTCAGTTATGATGCCTTAGATGATGAAGAAAACAAATACTTATTTCTTTATATAGCCTGCTTTTTCAGCGACAAGTTCTTATATCCACGTAATCTGGAAGAGATTCTGTCAAAGAAGTTCTCGGATGTGAGGCAAGGTCTTGAAGTTTTAGCTGAAAAAGCTCTCATATCTATGGAATACGGATGGATAGAAATGCATCATCTGCTACAGCAATTTGGAAGAGAAACTTCACGTAAACAATTTGTTCAGCATGGCCTTAGGGAACATTATCTTTTGGTCGGTGCAAGAGATATATGTGAAGAGCTCAGCAATGATACAACAGTAAGTTATGTTGTTGCAATATTGCTTTTTACAAATTGTGTTTATTTTATAACTAACTAGATAAGGGTCCACGTAAAAACGCGGGTTAATTTTAATGTTTTCACGTATGTGGTAAAAATATTGCATGTGTTAAAATTTGGAAAATCATAACATTAACAAAAAAATTAATCAATATTAATTGAATATCATAATTTCTAATATAGATTAGAGCCCGTCCAAAGTATTTAAAAATCTATAATTTCTAACATAATTTCAAAATAAAACTATATTAAAATTTTATTATAAGAATATTATATCCAAAGTATTCAAAATATATATAATTTTTTAATTAGTAAATTGTTTTTTGTTGAGCAAAATTATTTATGTATCATACATATTTAAAAATTGTTATTAAACATTCATTATAAAAATCTAGAAATGTTAAATTGTCGACCACCAAAAAAATGTGAGCTATTCATCATTTTCACAATATTACTATTACCAAATTTTTCAAAAAACTTAATTTAGATATTATACCCTAAACATGATTATACCATTATCCTGAAAATTGTTAAGGGTGATTGGTGATGACTTTTAAGGCTAATTTGTCAATCAACATTTTTTGCTTTTTTTTTTAAAGCATTAAAAGGCACTTCTTTTTTTTCCTTCTTTGTTTTCTCATTTTTCTCAAAGCGTCAAAAACCTGGCTTTAAATTTAATCAATTAAAAAGATTTATTTTTCATATCCCTGTTACATTTAAACCTTTTCACAAGTTTATAAATATATTTTATATATTTTATTTTTATAAATTAATTACTCTCATTTTTTTCTTGTTCTTTTAAGATCCATTTCAATAATACTTTTATTTTATAAAGTCATTTATAATATAATTCATATTTATTATAAATATAAAATAATAATAAAAAAATAACATGCATAACTTGAAAAGTTGTTCATTACCAATCAGATTTTAACAGTAAAAGTTTCTACAGCCAAAGCATCTACAACCAAATTCTCTGCAGCCAAAATTTTAAAGTTAAAGTCTCTACAGCCACAAGTAACAATCGTTACCAATCGACCTCGTTATTTCCTAAAGTCCAATTTTTTAAAAAACTATCCTCGCATATTTTTTTACTTTGCAATTTATTGTATTTCTTAAAATTAATTAATTATTACAAAATTTGATGGTAAAGTTCTTACAAATTAACATTAATCCAAAAAATGAGTTATAGTGTCGTTGAAATAAGCATTAATAAATTTTTTTTAATATGAAAGTATACAAAATTACATATTTAGAAAAAAAAATTGAAATCATTATACTACAAATTATTTTGAATTATGTTATGCTTATTTTAAGTTAATAATGTCTCTTTTTAGCTCCCTTTTATCCACCTCTCTTGTTTTAGCCATTGAGATTGTACTATGACATATTACATGTAAATATAAATTAAAAATTAAACAATAATAACATGTTAAAAAGGTAAAAACATTTAATAAACACATTTAACTAAGCTTTAATCCTTCTTTATAAACTAAATCGACATATAATCTATTTTAATTGTAAATATTAAACCCTGATATGCTTGGTAAACCCATACCGACATGACCAAACATTAGGTTAATTATTTAATTATAAGTAAAAACATCTGAATATTTTAATTCTTTTTGTAATTTTCTATTTTAATCTTTTTTTTAAATTAGATGTGTCGCATTCCGGCATCTAATATTTTACTTGACATATATCACAATCACGTGAGTTAGTAATGTGAAAACCAAATTTTACATGGTAAGAATTTTTGAATTAACATAAAAATCTATTATAATTAGGTATACTTTTATATGTATTACTTATGTAGAACTTTTTTTTATGATAGGTTTATAAATTTAATTTTAAAATATTTTAATTTATCTTAAATTTACACATGTCGATATCTTATCGCTACAATTGACACATGTCATATTAATGACCAACTTATTTAGATTAACTTATTAAATAAAAATATTTTAATATTACATAATATTCACGATAATGAAAATATTTTCTAAGATTAACTTATAGTTGACTAACTTATTGTATTTTTTTCTTCATTTGCTAATTTTTTATTTCTTAGAGCTAATTTTTATTAATCATTTTATTTTATAATAACTATTGTTTTTCCTTTAGGATTACTACTAAGTAACTGTTAAATTTCCTGAATTTTTTATTTTCTTGATTCTATTTTGAAAATATTATTTTAAAAAAAAATCTAATTTATATAATTTTTTACCACTAATTATCTGACACATGTCAACATCTTATCAATTCAAGTAACATTTGTCACGATCTTGTTAATGACTAACTTTGAAAACCCAATTTTATATAATAAGACTGTATTTACTTATATATCTTTTTTTCCAGGATAATAGGCATTTTATAGGCATAAATTTAGATTTATCTAAAACCCAAGAAGAATTGTATATAAGCCAAAAAGCAATTGAGAGAATGTCTGATCTGGAAATCATAGAAATCGATGGTAAAAAGGATCTTTCTCTGCCAGAGAGACTGGACTTACTTCTACATCATTCACAAAAGATAAGATTTCTGGTTTGGAGTTATTTCCCAAATACATGTTTGCCATTTACTTTTAATCTCGAGTTTCTCGTCCAACTACGTATGAGATCGAGCAAGCTTCAGAAGCTATGGGAAGGAGCTACAGTAAGTAATTTTGATAAAAACATTTCAATTTTCAAAACCTTTGGTTATATATCTAGAATTCTGTTTCCGTTAAAATTTCTAGTTTAGTTTACAAACTCCAACTTTATAAGCTAATCGTGTCAACATTTTCTTATCGTGTCAATGCAGCAACTTAAAAATCTCAGGTGGATGGATTTGTCTCGTTCTAAAGATTTGAAAGAGCTTCCGGATCTTTCAACTGCCACTAATCTTGAAGAGTTAAATCTCTTTGGATGCTCAAGTTTAGTGGAGCTTCCTTCTTCTATTGGGAATGCAACTAATCTCAGGACATTAAATCTCTCTGAATGCTCAAATCTGGTGAAAATCCCTTCTTCTATTGAGAATTTGACAAATCTCCAGGAATTAGATCTCTCTAGATGCTCAAATCTTGTGGAGTTTCCTTCTATTGGGAATGAAAATAAACTCGAGAGGTTATATCTTTGGAATTGTTCAAGTCTGGTGAAACTACCGTCTTCTATAAATGCCACTAATCTCAAGGAATTGAATCTAGAAAATTGTTCACGTGTTTTGGAGCTGCCTGCTATCGAGAATGCGACTAAACTTGAGGAATTGGATCTCAATAATTGCTCAAGTCTACTCGAGCTCCCTGCTTCTATTGGAACTGCCACAAATCTGAGGGAATTGGAAATGAGAGGGTGCTCAAGTCTCGTGAATCTCCCCTCCTCTATTGGAGACCTCACTAATCTACAGTAGAATTTGATCTATCTAATTGCTCAAGTCTACTAGAGCTCCCTCCTTCTATTGGAACTGCCACAAACCTTAAGAGATTGGAAATGAGAGGGTGCTCAAGT